ATTTTTAAAGAATTTGGTTTGTTGATCAATATGGAAGGAGGGGAAATAACGTACTTAAAATAACATTAAACGCATTATCTTCATACAAGACAGGATGAAGCTACAACAGAAGATCCAGAAGTTCCAAAGAGAACGTCTCTCTATCTGTGCTTACGTAATTTGGCGCACTGCCATCCTCACAGTTAACCATATTTGTCACTGAGGAACTATACACTTAATGAAGCACGTACGCGTAGATGGGTAAGTGGGTTGTTAAGACATAAACTAATTAACCTCAGGTAATCAGTGAGTAACTGTTACCAGCGGAATTTCGTCGCGCATGGAATCACTTCTAGCTCTCTGATGCACAGAGAATGATTTCAGCTCCGTTTTATTTTAGCGTTTATAGGGCACATATTTGTTTGGCATTTTTTAATTGTCTAATTGTAGCCTCAGTAGGTCAAATTTATTCGAGGTATATTTTCGCGTTACGGGTGCTATAATATACAGCACCGCGGTTTGCAGACGCTGATATTCTCGGTAAAATCTAATTTAGGAGTATAGTAAGAGTCATTTACATATTAAACAGTCAGCACATTTGTTCAATTAAACCTTAGAATTAATGCTTTCAGTCTTCAGTTAATTACATTTCCATGTCTTGCGCATTTTTTACTCATTCTTTTCGCTTTGTTTCAGAATGTATCACTTCATCCAGTGCATTGGTTAATTAGTTATGCTAATTTGGCTAAATTTTTGCGTTTGTTGACTAGAACACGTCTTGAGTACATTATTACTGTGCGCTGAATACGTTTTTGAACGGTTTCGAAAATCCCCACCTCGGTAAATTAAAATATTTGTCTGCTTTTCCAACCGCTTCGATATTTATTTGTGATTAAGAGCCTGTTGATATTGTTTGAGTCAAACGGTAAAACGTTAAATTCAAAGCGAGCAACATGAAAGAGGCAAATATTGCAGTCAGTATCAAAAGATGCAAGCATTTCATGACTACAAAAAAGCACTAAAGGCACTGGAAACGATACTAAATCACAAAAATACGAGCTGATAGCGAACTAAAGACCTAACGAGGCGACTGGCTTCGAGGGTGACAGGTGACATTCCGTGAGGAAAGCAGAAACAAATTGTAATCGGAAAGAAATTATTTCATGTCATGCCAACGTCATCCCAAGTTCTGAGGGATGGTACACCCACGGTGCGGAAATTCGATCCGAGTTATATTCAGTCACCAGTTATCTGACTTTGCTTCTCCTTGTTATGGGTTCGCCATGAACGCAAAACGACGGTTCTCCAGCATTCTGTAATTTGACCATCGGATCACCCCATCGTATGTTCGATCGTCCAGAGGAATGCAATAATTCTTGAGTCATCCGATTGTCACTCAGGCGAGTCACACAACCGTCCCATCTTCCACCTGGCGTTGCAGAAGACAATACAAATCTTTCTCTTTATTCCATATGCAATTCACGAAACTGTTTTCAATCCTTTAATGCCGTTCCTGATTCATTATTGCCCCTGAATTGTCATCATATGGACGGTGAATTAAATTTTACAGTGTTATAGACAAACCTTACGTTGTGAGTGACACGAGTAAAGACAGAATGTTACTTGATGCAAGAACACAAGACAATCTTGTGTAACATAAACAATTTTCTCTCCACTGCAGGATGTTATCCCATCCAAGATTTCCGTCTTCTGCAACTCTTGTCCGTTTTGCTCAGTGAATTTCATCAGCTAATTAGCGATCAGTCTGGAGGCTTCAAAACGTGCTGTCTCTTGGAACTTTATTGTCTCTTTGAACCCATTCAAATGTCACTTTGATCCACCGATGATGGATTTTCAGTCTAAATTCCTCGCTCATCCAGTAACATCGCAGATTCCAGTTTATGCCCGTATGCGCTCGTTCGTTCCTTTTAATTTGTTTGTGGTGCTTCCAGCAATCCCATTTCAATGTTGTTCCTGAAAGAGAGTGTCTCATTGCCAAAATTTTCAGCCTCCTTTAGGGAAGTGATAAACTAACCGATTCATCCTCTCTTGTACCATGGCTGGATCCATATGCTGGATTCAGGTATGTTAATATATCAAGCAAATTTTGATTCTGCCTTTTTTTGGTCGGTTAATAGAGACAATAGCATTCTCCCATTATTCACGCTTCATTTGTTTTACTAGCATGAACAATCTAAGCCGTTCATACGCCTGAACATGCCAAATAACGAATCATTCCTACGGAACAAATTCACAGAGCACTGCATCGCCACCTCGCTTGAAATTTGCTCTCTAAGAGGAGTCATTCGTCATTCGCAAGAACCGCGTGTGATGTCTATGAGCAGAATATAAGGAATTCTAACGGTTAAAATATCGTTCCTCATGAGTTCGAAGTGGTTCCAGCCGAAAAAATGGTGCGGAATGCATCTGCTACTACAGACGGTTAAATACAATGGAGTCTTGGCCTGCATAAACGTTCAACTCTCCACCCCCTGGCAACTGAGAGCAAGGAGGCAGTGGGATATGAGGTGAAATAAGGTCTTGGAGGAGTGATTCGATATTTTGATAACATATGGATTCAGGCGAACGTTGAATGAAGCATTAATGTGGATTCACTGATAAAACATGAGTCATTACAATGAGCTGCACGAGCTCTGTGTTTAATTGATGACATCCGTCTAAAGGACACAGAGAGAGGTAATCAATTCATTAAATATGTATTGACAGTAAGGCGGAACTTTTAACGCACAACTGATAGCAAAAGTTTCTGCTGTGCCAGTTTTTCGTGTCAAAGCCCAGATTTGTTTTGCCGAGAAGTTCGAAACGAAGATGAAGATTTTCAAAACCCTCGATGGCCAAAGGTCCAAAGAAGCAGTAGAAGCAGAAACCGAAGGACGGAAAACATCTAACGATTGGTTAAGAAAGAATCGCGACGAATCGTCCCATTCCGTCAATTTGTTGATTCAACCGATTGGAGAGCGACTGGAAGAATTGTGTTGATGAAGATGTTTAGTTCTCCATAGACACGATTCCCGATGATATAATAATCAGGTTAAATGCCTTGGTGTGACCTTGAAAATCAGTCACCTTCGTTGTCATCGTCGTAAAAGGCATGACCAACACCGTAACCACGGTATGTGATGTGTGATCAGTAAAAATCGCCTTCTAATAAGAAGTCTACACCATTAAGGTTGAGTGGTCATGTGTATGAAAATATGCAAATGGTACATGACCTGCGAACGAAGTACAGGGTACACATCTTTGTCCTTCTGGCTCCTCAATGTTCTGCATTATATGCCAGTAATAGATACTTAAAATGTGTCTGCACTGGTTTAATTTTGTATTGCATTTTTCTACTTCTAAGAGCTGCTATCGACCGTCTCAGTCGGTAATCGACGAATGATTGTTTCAAGCGCGGGTTTACTCACAGCTGACCTCAGAAGATGAGTGAATGATCTGAAGATTCGAGCGATGTTTGTAAATACAGGTTCAGTAAAAAATTACATACACACGAACAGACGAAAATCAGCGGTTCACACGATTACTGTCAGTTGCACTCTTCATAGAAACTTGACAGAACGATCATACCTGGCTAATTCTGCTGTTCGACAAATCCAATCTCCTAATGGACAGAGATGAGAATATGTTGCGGTACAGATTGGGCTCCCGAGCCTGGTGGATCTGCAGCAGCTCTATCACCTGGGGCCCATTGCCGATCGCCTTCACAACATCGCTGATGCGCTTGTCCACACAGTTGACCGTGATGCCGGAAATCGAGTCCGAACACATGCATAGAGTCGACACCGCCTGACTGCACCCTCGGCACCTGTCAGGCATCGCCAGGGCAGCCAGTAGTGCGAAAAACCACCACCGAGCCGCCGTCACCTTCGTCTTCGTCGTTGTCTTCATCGAAAATGGTTCGAGTTCGACGAGTCGAATGATCCACGTCGCCGCCACCGATCCTTCCAGTAGGCGGCGCCGGCAGCGACAGGTCCGCATGGGCCCCGGGGCTTTACACTCGCACTGATGTTGCGCTGCCGCCGGTTTCCGAGGTCGACAACGAGGTTTTGCATAAAGACGAGTTGAGGACGAGCAAACCCCTGAGGCTGCATGCCTTCTGACTCATTAGCAGTTCCGATGCTCCTTGGTCGCTGTGCCGTGTCGTGCCCAAGGGTTGGTTTTCGCGTGTCGCGCAACTTCCGATGAGTCAAGGACCTTCGTTGACCCGGTTGCTACCAGGACGTATCGTCTAGCCGCCCAGCCACGGTCGTTGCACAACTCGGTCACTAGTTCGACTGTCGATCGGTTCCCGTCGCATCGTCTATGCTCGGTCACCCTGTTCCCTTCTTCGGTGTTCATCATCACCGCGTGATCGGCACGTCTTACAGTGATCACCGGATTGCAACTTGACTTTGTTCTTACGGCAAACCGTCCATCAGTTCTGAACAGGTCCAAATGCCGTCTTTCAGAAAACAGGTCATGCTCCGCAGTGTCACTGTCGTTCTACCACGTGATATTCATGGATGCTCAATTCTTGATTAATAAACAGGTTATCATTTACATATGATGTTTTTACAGCCGTTCCATTTCGCTTCTCGTTCAACGGACTCACCTGGCATGAAAACAGGAGGAAGACAGTAAGTCTGGTTGCTTGCAGCATGAATGCGGATGCATTGACATTGCATTCTTCATCGCAGTGAGTTGCCAGTGCTTAATGTTTATGAATGACACCGGTACGTCTGACAATCATTGAGAGAGAAAGCAATTTATTAAATATTTATCGCCAACCAACTTGAACTGGTAACACATAGATTGTAGTAAAGGTTTCTGCTGTACCAATTGATCTTATTGAAGTCCACAGTTGCTTCGCAGAACAGTTCGAACCGAAAATGAAGAAAATTCCTTCGATCTGCAAACCATCGATCACCTACTGTGCTAATCCCACAGAATCGCAGCAACGACCCAGAGCACAGTAAGCGTAAGCAAAAATCAAGCGCCCCATATTAAGGAAGAAGTAACATCAATAAACTTTTTGAGCTGCACGGAACCGTGGTTTCAAGTTTTATGTTTGCACAAAAACCAATGTAAGTATCAGCCAAGTGTGTGTTTCTATCAATATCACAAATGTAGGTATCAATTCTCCTATTCGTTTGTTCGTTCGTTGAGTCGTTGGACCGCTTGTTCATTCATCTATATCATTTTCGGTCATTTTGCACCTCATTAATTCATGCACTCATTACTTCATCCATTCGCCCATTCACCCGTCCATTATTCCATGTACAACTCTATCCACTGATTCAAGAGCTTTTTCCAATGATCGGTTATATTTGCAAATCAGCAACTTCTATGTAATCCATTCCAATTCAGAACAATGCTATTTTTCACCATACCCAAGACACCCAGTTTCCATCTGTCCGGTAGTCAATTAATGAACGTGCGCTTTTCCATTCTGTGGGTGCAGCATGGCTGTCTGACAACGTGTGTAAAGCATCCCATTAATATCTCGATTTGGAGAAGAAATGGCTCATCGGCAATGGCAATGACAGAAAAGGACTTCAAAGGGGCGGTTTGTGAAATGTTATCTATCACTATTCAAATGATGGCCTAGATAACGTACAATTTCATGTAATTTATTTAATGATTGATGGATTCTCCAAGCTTACGCTAATAAAGTATTCTTAATTTCATGTTCTTACGTTAACGACGTCCATCTTATCCTCCATATATATTCGCATATTACAGTAGCGATCGTCTAAAACCATGAAACTGTCCCCTGGGAAACTGAAATCAGACGACATTGACCACAGGGGCGGCATGCAATTCCGATGTGCAAAATGGAGTTGGATCAACTTTCGGTAAGAAATATTCCCATCTACGATGCAAGTACCGGCATCTTATAGCAAGTGTTAAAAAGACGCTAACGCAGCTGCAATCACAAACAATAGATGATCTATCTCAGCAAATGGCTCAGTGATGATTGCAGCAAAGCTGAGAAAATCTGAATAGCACACTGGATCATAGCACTGATGTGTCTGTTTGAACGTGCAAACATTTTTCGCCCCAAGGACGTGTGACACCATGGTGTTCTGTCATTAATATCTTGTTCATCAGTGTCTCTGGGATTTCCTAAAGTGTTCTAATTATATACAAACTTGTTACAAACAAATCTTATGATTACTTCCTTTCTGAGAGTCGATATACGATGCATAATTTTCCCAAAAACTTACTTCATGGGATTTATATAAACGATGGCTCCTAAGACCTTCATCACATAACAGCAGATATGTTACTATCCAGAATGGTAATCAGTCAATATCAGTATGCAGTAAGATTCATGATCCGTGATTCATAGGTTCCAGGAATCAATGTTTCTCAAAGTCAACAAGGCAAATATAAACCACAGGAGTCCACGAGTTTTCAATAATGCGGCGCAGTGCGAAGATTTGGTCTTAAGTTCTTCAGCTTGACTTGAAGCACCACTGGTCTTCTTGTATCTTAGAGTCTACTAATATGAGGTACCTCCGTTCCAAAACGTCTGCTCGTTATCACTTACGTCCTGTATGGTAGCTGCTAATTTCGCAATTTCGAACTAGCTAGTCTGGGACTCTTAGAGGTTCACCTCTAACGAAATCGTCATCCGCGGCTTGAATAAGGACAGTTCTACTGGTCTGGAAACCACAACTCTCACTGCGAGGCTGGAGTTGCAGTTCACCGAACAGCAGATGTTGAATTCTTAAGCAACGGTGTCACTGTTTGCCGATTCGCAACGAAACATATTAAGACGAACTCTGTAGCCCCGTATGGCGTACGGACATATCAACACTGCGGAAGACCCAAAGGAGGACCAGTTGTATCTCCGCCTTCACATGGTTCTCAG